ACAAAATTCTTTTCAAGCTGTTTGCTCTGTGGAATCACCATTGAGTTTGCACTCTTTTTTTGTGATTGCCAGGTTAAGGGACCTTCTGGTGATCAGATTATTGATTTTCGTGACAAAACAAGTGAGAAATTTGAGTTTGTAACTCGTGAAAAAGGAGTCCACCGATTCTGCTTTACCAATAAATCTCCACACTATGAAACCATCGATTTTGATGTACATGAAAACCATTTTACAGTCTTTGAAGAGCATGCAAAAGATGGTAACTCATGCTTGTTTTTTATTCTTGTTGACCTGCTTCTTTTCCTGCAGAAATCTTGATAAAATGGTGGACTAACTGCTATTGTTGTGTTTATCTGCAGAACATTTCAACCCTTTATTAGAACAAATATCCAATTTACAGTATGCTCTCAATAATATCCAGTTTGAACAACGCTGGCTCGAGGCAGAGACAGAACGTCAGCAAATAGGTATGTTGAAAATCTTGAAATCTATTAGTTCTAAACTTCTAGGACAGAACTCCCAGCTGACCATAAATAGAGACAGATATTAAATCATATCACCACTGTAAAACAAAAACCTCACCTCACTGGACTTTGTTGTATGCAGTCTATTATATTCTTACTAACTTTTCATCGCATTTTGTTTACTTGGCTTGGCATGCCTAAAAGTTTTGTCCTTTGAATGTTTATATCATGATCCGAGCATTGAAACTACTGAAATACATTAGTTGAGATTGATGGGAGGTATTGTTCTAAAAATAATATTTATGAGATTATTCATTTGTGAAGCAGTTGCGGGCAATTCATTTCTATAATTATTCTCTTTTGATGGAAATGCAGTAACTGATGCAATGAGTAAGAGAGCAATTCACAAGGCATTTGTTGAATCAGCAGCACTCATTGGAGTCAGCATTCTACAAGTTTACCTTCTCCAGCGCCTTTTTAACAGAAAGATAGGAATGTTCCGAGTATAGCTTTTAGCACTGCTACAAAAGGTTCAGCTTACAGATTTTTATTTTTAAAGACATTACAGGCTTCTAATACACATGTATAGAAACCAGATATATGGTTATCTTTGGTCTCTCATCTGGTCCCCCTTTAGATCAGTAAGGATTGGAGGTCTCGATCAATAAAATGTTTATATGATCTTCCAGCCATGTCATACAAGTAATGTTTGTCGCTATCACCTGGGCTGAAAGTGCTTTTTTTTTGGACTGGTATCTAGCATAATGCCATTTAAGTTGGAATAAAGTTAAAATTGGTGCTTTCCCTAAGAAATATAAGAGAGGAGAGAGAAAGAGACCTCTTTAACAAACAAAGCCAATCACTGATAGAACAAAGAAAATACCACAAACAGAAGCTCTACAGCTTATAGCACAGAAGAAGCAATGACAAGAAGTAATAACTCAGCATCTAGTAATAACCCACCAAATCGGTACATATAGATACAATACGTATTTGTCTGTCTTTTTGCTTTCTTCCCACCACAATTAAATTTTACACCAAGAGAGAGAGAGAGAGAGAATTCCAGCAAAGCGCCCTGTAGACTCTGTTTTGTTTACGAATACAAGGTGGGGATCAAACATATTTTCTTGTGGAAGCTCTTAAGGAGGCAGGGCTTGATCAAGATTCTGCTGGTGGGGCTTGAATGCAGCAAAGCCATTTTTTCTGAAAATAAGTACCACATCAGGAATTTCTATACCACCATAAAAAGTTCAAGGTTGCACATCAAAGGAATGTTCTATGGTAGACATGCAAGAACAGATAGCCATAGGCTCTGCTTAAGATATGCAGCCAGATGCCAAAACTAAGGAAATTATCAGAAAACTTACAGGCTGAGGTTTGCCAGGATCCATTCCATGTCCATGCTTAACGTGAGAATCAGCATTTGTTGGTGACTCGGGTTTGCCACCTGTCTTCTTCTCATCCCTAGCCTTGTTAAAAATCATAGTAAATCCCTCAGCTGATGTAGGATCATTGACGTCCCATTCACCAAATTTTGGTAATGGCTGACCTTTGTCCTGACCTTTGTCCTGCAAGATAAAAAGTAAAAGGCTCCTCTTAAAATCCTGATTACTACAATAGGCAGAGAACAAAAATGATCAAGTTCAAAGAAACATTGATGACCATCAAACATGGACAGTGATATGCTAGTCAATTTGGTTCCAGTGTACTTGCTTCACAAAAAAGAACAAACTGTTGAACCAACCATGTAATTTGCCTGCTTCAAAATATCAGATAGAGCCAAACAAAATGGTAAAATGACCAAGGATGCTCAGCATCCTAGTATTAGGATCAAAACGCTTTAGAATTTTAGAACCACACAATATAGTTATGTAAGGTCATGGTAACATGATTAAATCATGTGCGAGGCTCACCAAGTCTCAGTGGCACATCATAAGCCTCACTTCAGTTGATATCAGCCAATCCTAACTCGAAGTGAAAATGCATATATTTTAAACTTCAAAGCTCATAGTTGACTGTCTACAATCAAGGGGAAGCAAGGAAAAAATTGAAGCAAAAATCTATCAAAATGTCAAACAATTATCTCCATAATTCTTAACCTCTTAAGAACATGGGACATGTTAACACTTCTCTGCTGTTTCCTCATATCTATTGAGGTCAGCTTCAGGATAAGACATAGATAATCTTATGGTTCATGGCATCATAGACCTTAAAATAGATTGAACCAAACCAGGATTGCCCTTATATTTTCAACTACCACCTTTTCATTAGACCACTAGCAGATTGAAACGCATCACCTATTCAATGTAATTACTTTGAGACAATCCAAACTCTCTAGTCTATGAAATTTATCTTTAAGTCAGTTTGTGTTTCCAAAGAAGAATTAACTGAGTGAACTCAGCTCTGAAAATCATACCATGCAAACTCAGAGATACACCATGAAAATTGAAGGGCCATTATTCTTGGAAGATATAGTAAAAAGATCAGCTCTTCTTGAAATAAGAAAAAAAGGAATCTGCCAAACACCAAACTGGACATAACACAAATTAGATAAAAAGGTTGCAACTTTGCAAGCTAGTCTTTACCCATTATGATTATTGGATCACATAAGAATGAGCATAATAACAATCTCTTTAGTACCATAGAGAGCCATAAAGAACTCTAAATAACACATGGATGTGTTATAAAGATATTAAAAAAATCATCAAATCACTTATCTAATTCTAAGAACAAAATTTTGACAGTGAATTCCATATCACTGAATTTGACTATCAGATTGTATCCAAAAGATGGAATATTATGAGAAAATCAGAAATATTCAATCTTGGTAGGATCAGAAAAGCTCATCTCAATCCTGCTTTATTACTCCTCATTTAGGCCTTCTCACATTCATAATTTCCATATAGAAAATAAAGTCTATAGCTTTCCAAAAGCATGCCAAAATAAGTCAATTAATAGCACTTCTATTCCAATAGGTTATGGAAATATTACATTCTGTTGAACCCAGATTCTTAAACTTCCTAATTATGCTAATTCACCCTTTACCAATAATAATAATAAAAAAAAAAAGCATAAATTATACGATTGTATAGAGATTCTATTGAAAATTTCATCCAGAAAGAAAACATCAAAATGAGATACAACTCATTAATTGAAGCTGCCACCCATAAAAGAGCCACCAAAATCACAAAAGAAGCGAAGAGACAGCTTCATCCAAAATCATCAAATACAACAACACAAAAATATCTAACCATAAAGACAAAAAAGATGCCCAAAAAGAAAAATAAGATGAATTGATCAGCTCCAACATCAACATTGAATTAAAAAAGAAACTCCAACACAAACCCAAAATCAATACCAGAACAGATCAATAATACATAAGCATCAAAAAATCCAAAGCTCAAATAAATGAAACAGCAAATCAAATCAAGCAAAACCCAACACTTTTCTCATGAAAACACAAAGGAAACAATGACATACCGTCATGAATTCCACAAAGATGTAAACTTTTTCTCTGGAGATGGAGGAAGATAGAGAAAGAAAAAGAGAATGATTTTTGAGAGAGAAATGGGTGAGCGCTTTTTAGAGAGAGAGAACGGGAGTTTTCGGTGACGGTAAGGGATAGGCAAAAACCTTTCTTAAGCCCCTCAACTTTTTCGACAGCGAGTGAAAAGCCCCTGAACAAAAAGGGGGTAAATAAGCCCTCCAACCCCACATTTGGTGCAAATTAGCCCCTCCGCTTACTAACTCCGTGCTGTTTGTTACTGGTTTGTGTGGCATTCATCCATTTCACGCCTTTACCCTTCATTTGTTTCGGTAATATATTTTTTTAATCGATTAAATTTTTTGGTACATCGATTAATTAATATTATATAATATACATATATTTAGGTATTTTTTAATAAAATAATGATATATTAATTGTTTATTTTAATCAATATTATATTTTACTTCAATAATTTTTATAAATTACTTATTAAATTTAATTAAATCACTTAATTAATAAAAAAAATTTAACATATTTTTTATTAATTATTATGAAAGGGTTTTTCTAATCTTTCTTATGGCATATATTAAAAGTATAATAAATATATTTTTTTGGTCAAAAATTTATATTAAAAGAATAAATGTTGATATTTAATTTATAAATTATATAATTAAATTCATCAATGGAGCAATGACCCTAAAATTAATATCAACTTTCATATTTTTTTATATAAATTAATGAAAAAAGGTGTACTTAAAAGTAAAAATTATGATATCTTGACACTTTAAATATTAAGACTTCTTATAAAATTATTTAAATCCCTTTAATAAATATTTTTTGTTGATTCACTAAAGATACTTTAATTTTTATATTATCATTTTTAGCATTTTAATTACATTTCAAAATTTTTTAAAAGACAATTAAAATTCCAGAAATAATAATAAAAAAACTAAAATATCTTTAGTGAATAAACACAAAAAATGTTCATTAAAAATTTTTAAATAATTTTACAATAAGTCTTCACATTTAAAGTAGTAAGTCATCCTCATTTGTGCTTTAAAAGAAACCATTTTATAATTAATTTATATTGAAAAATATAAAAACTAACATTAATTTTAATATCATTGTCATGTTGATGAATTTAATTAAATACTTAATTAATTAAAAGTCAACATTTATTCTTCTAATATAAGTTTATGGTAAAAAAAGTATTTATTACATTTTTAACATATGTTCTAAGCGTAAAAAATAGAGAAATCCTTTTATAATACTATTTTAGTTCATTTTTAGTAAATTTAATTTTTTTTTGTTTAATAAATTAGAGATGTAATAATTTATTGATAAAATTTCATATTTATTCATAATTAAATACTATTTAAATAAGGCCTCTTTTTTTTTGTACTAATCTCTCGGTATCCGATAACCACATTAAGTCCTGATTAATTCAGAATCGAACCCGTCGATCCCATTTGGAGAAAACTCTCCCAGCATCTGTTTTTCCATTCGCCAAACTTGAACTTGAAATCTTATTTAAGGAGAATTGAGTGATGAGCTAAATTTATATACATATTAATAGGGAATTTTTACTTTGATATTATTGATATTTGGATGAGTTTTATGGGATTTTGTTTGATTTTACATGATTTTCATTTTTTATGTAGGAAAGGATTTAATTGAAAGAAATCATACTTTTTAGAAGTAAATTAAAGAGATCAGAGACTTGAGGATCAACTTGTGCAGAATCCAGAAGTCAGGAACCAAATCTGCTATTTTACCATTGAAGAAATTGCAAAAGGAGGCCAAAAACCCGACATGGGTGTAGTGTCGACACATGATCGGGGTGTCGACATCATGCATTAAACGTCCAGATTCAGATTCTACTTCTTATTTTGTGTCAACACGTAATCCGAAGTGTCAGTACCATGCCATCAGTATCCAAAATTTAGTTTTTTATTTCTGTTCCATGTCCTACTTCTATTTCAATTAGGGTTTCTAAAATCCTATAAATACCCATCTAAATTTAGAATTAAGAGAGTTTGTAGAGGCTAGTGGCAGCCCTTTTTTGGGCATTATTGGAGATCAAGATTGAGGTTCTATCAACAATAGAAGATTGAAGAGTTCGATTTCTTCAAATTGGGTTTTGTTTTTCCTTGGGTTTTTATTCTTTTTATTATGAACTGATTTATTTTATTAAGGCTATGATATAGCCTAATCAATTCAATATAGATATTGTGATTTTATACTTTTAATTAAAGTTATTCGCATGAAGAGTTTATATTATTGAATTTAATGCATTGGAATTCTGATAACCTTTCAATTGATTTAGTGATTTATGCATGAACTTGAGAAAGAATTGCGTAGATTAGATCAATAATAATATAAACCGTGTGCTAGACTATGGGACCGAGAGGTAATTAGCTCACATGTGGTAGTGGAGGAAGAGAAGAGAATTAGGAGCTCTCCCTTTTTAAACTAGAGGTTTCCATAGAATTTAATGCTCATAAGTTTGTTTAAAATTATATAGAAATATGATTAATTTAACAAACAAGTGAATGATTAATTTGACTTGAGAAAGCTAGTTAATTAATTTAGGGAAATCCGCCATCATATGCAATAACACTCAACAATTTGATAATCCA